CATACCGGTCATAACCCACCACTGATCTACCCGCATTACTCTCTTGGGGTCCAAATTACCTTCATATCACATATGTAACTTCTGTGATTGAAAGTTGAGTTGGAGTCAAAAGTCAGAAGGACTGGACTACAATTTTGTCTTCCTTTTCCATTTTAGCTCCTCCTTGCTTCAAGACCTCAATGATGTACAGGGAGCCCTTGTCATATGATCACAATTGTGATTGGAATTTTGGTCACTAAGTGATATGGTCATTTGATCATGGGACCAGACCTGATTTTATGATCATTTTATTGTGGTCATTGCGTGAATCACATGGTCATTAAACAAATCCAGCTGCCCCCATTGACTTTGCTCGTCAAAAGCTGTCTCGGAACATTGCAAACTATGACCATGGGGCTGTAGACCATTGCAACTGATCTTAAATGAAACTGGTTGCCAACTACCCAAATCACAGTTTTGATGGTAGGAGATGTACAACAGTCATAATATTGAAGGCAGGTGGAAAATAACTTCTTCCAGTGCCATTGTAACTCAGAATCATCATTAAATGTATGTTTGTAAATTCAGGACCGCATATAAAGATTATTTTCTGAATATCTGGTTTTGGGGGACTAGTTGGATATATCATTATAGAGCATAGGGCTATCTGAAACCTGGCGGTATTTGTGTTTTCATTCAGTGAATCATTGGAGCTGAAGATACCGTGTTTTCCCCAAAATAAGACCAGGTCTTATATTAATTTTTGCTCCAACACACACATTATAACTTATTTTCTGGTTATGTCTTGTTTTGGGGAAAATACAGTACTAAATGCCTCCGTCTGCTGACAATCTTAACTGGGGCTTATTTTTGGGGTAGGGCTTATATTACGAGCATCCTGGGAAAAATCATGCTAGGGCTTATTTTTCAGTTGGATCTTATTTTCAGGGAAATGGGGTATTAGCATTAGCACTTAGTGAAAAAGCAAGACTGAAAGGAACATTATTCTTAACCTTCCCCTTCAGTTTTTGGCTTTATGTTTTCAAGGAGACCAGTGGTTTCCCAAGCATCATTGAAAAATGGTGACCTAGCATCCAGGGAGATTCCCACCCACCTTATATCATCCGAAATGACAGCAGGAAAGAGGAGCCAAAACAATGTCATGTCCAAGGGGAAGGGAAGAAAGAGCTAATACAGGGGAGTATGGGCAGTACCATCTGCCTGGGAAGCAGGTTGTGATGCCAAAAAGACTCTGAGCCTCTCTCAAGGAATTCTTGCATCCCTTCTGATCCAGAAAAAGTAGGAAAGAGGACAGATACAAGCCTCCCCAGCCCTACAGAGCCCTTGAAGGAGATGGGCAANATATATATATTTGTTATAATGAAAAGTAGAAAATTATTCTGGCACTATAGTTTGTTATGGATCATGTTGAGATTCTGCAGAGGTTTTGCATTACTCTTTCTGATGTTTTGATGCTTTCCCATTTTATATATAGAAAGGTATCCCAAATCCATAGTACAATGGACTAAGCTTAATAAATTGCTGAAAATTTCAATGTGAAAAGATGGTATTATGTTTCTTCAGGATGCTATTTTCTTTTTTTTTAGCCTTTGTTGATCGCTATTGGAGTAAACATTTTAATTTTTTTTTTAGGTGAAACTGGCATCGGGAAATCTACCCTGATGAATACTCTTTTTAACACAACCTTTGAGACAGAAGAAGCGAGTCACTATGAGCACACAGTCCGTCTACGGCCACGAACGTATGATCTGCAGGAAAGCAATGTCCACCTGAAACTGACCATTGTAGATGCTGTGGGATTTGGAGATCAGATAAATAAAGATGAAAGGCAAGTCACTTTCCAGTTTCATCCAGAAACGTTTGCGTTGTTTTGATGGGGAAAGGATGTAGATATTCCACCTGGAATACTAGACTTTATTTATTGTGCTTGTGATTGGCTGCTTATCATATCGGCAATGCAAAGCTTAGACGACACAGCAGTCAAGGAGAAGGGAAAACAGAAACAGGAAATTTCAGATGTCGGCCAGATAAAATACAATCCATTGCCACCTTGTGGCTAAGCTGTAACATTATCCATATAGTTGTCAGATTTAATAACATTTCCATGAAACTTGGTAGGAAACTAAAGAGTTAACAAAGGCTCTACTTTTTTTTTTTTTGATTCTGAGCTTGCATGTTATAGTCATTCTCAATTTCTCCACTGGCTCTAATGTAAATTGCTGGGTTGTGCACATGTTGAAAGGAAGATGAAAGAGTGAGGCTTTGGAGCTCTTTTCCCCCCGCAGATATCCTGATTCCCTTCCTCCCATTTTCCCACAAAAACTAGTCAGCTGGAATCAGTTGTCTTCATTTCGTTTGAGAGCTGCTATACCTCTTCCTTCAAAAATAAAGATGGGGTGCTAGTATCTGCTCTTATGTTCCAACGCTGAGCAGCAACAGGGGAGAGCTGTTGTTTTTATATCCTACATGTGAGATTCCCAGAGGATCATTGTAGGAAAACATGAGTTATTTAATTCTGACTTTGCTTCCATGGTGTTCAATTCCCAGAGGTTATGAATGATTTCTGGGGTTCTGTAACTGGTGGGTTTCATGTACAGCAAAACTTGTATTTCAAGTCAAAACGTAGAAAATGTCCTAGACTGAAGTTTCTGCGGGATAATCCATGATTTGATTTGTAAAACACTTGAGAATCAAATACTACTCTAAAAGAGAATTTAAAGCTAAAGTTTTTAGGATGACCTGAAATTGATGAGATTTGCTTGCTACTTTTATTGCAAGGAATGTCTCCAGTCAATGTTTCCGGTTGTTGCTGTATCCCCAAAGGGTTCATTTAGTCTTGAGATTTATATGGAGATTAGGTCATCAAACAGAGGCAACC